TAAAAGCTAGCTTTTATTTTTTGAAACTGAGAAACAACCATTATTTTCTTCTCTTATTCACAGAATTTCTTCCCTCACGGCTTCTCTGCATTCCCGTACTCAGAAAAAGAGGAAAAGAAAACATATCAGCCACAAACAAGGGACAAAGAGCGGAGGCCAAAACACAAGAACAGGACGAACAAGCAAGTCCCAGCGCCGGAAAATGACGGGCAGGAGGAGGCATGTCCAAGACTGAATGGCTGACACATGGACTATTAAACTCTACTACTTGGCTTGGCAGAAGATCAGTGTTATTTGAACACAGTCAACACTTGGTTGGGAGCTAAGAAATGTTGAGCTTATACAAGTTAAGGAAACCTAATCTTGATTTGTGTAGGTCTCCTGCTGGGAAAGATCTCTCTCATTCAACTTCCCCTTATTTGGGTGGACAAAGGCCCTTTTCCCCAGAGACAGATTAGATCCCTGATTAATATCATGTTTCCCAAGACTGGTGGAGACCACATTTATAATTGCATTCAAGTTCTGATCTCCATGCAATAATGTTTCATGTATTGGATTCAGAAAAAGAAACAAGTATAAAAGAGTAACTATGGTCAACTAAATGTTCTCCATTTGTTGGGACAAACACCTAAATATTGTGCAACACATCTGTCAAGTATCAAGTTGGGTAAGGCTGGCACAGATAATAGCAATATTTTCTTCTTGTGCATTTTTTTACTATTATTCATATTAATTTTCATCTCTTGATGAGGAAACATGTTTCTCATAAATCCTTGTGACATATGCCAACGATTACATCACCACTCGTAAACAAGCGCTGAAGATAAAAGCAATTGTTAACTTTTTGAATTGTTTTTGCTCTCGTGGCAAAACACAGAAGCTGCCCCCATTCCCAATAGGTCCCAAGAAGTAACTTGTTGATGCTTGCAGGAAATGAATCTATGGAAGCAGTGGGAACGAATCCATATCTACACTTAAAACTTCATACCTGATCTATTAGCTGTCGGAGACTTTTTAAAATGATCAGGATCCAAATGTTTCTTTACGTGGATCTATAACTCTGCATTTCATTTTGTTTTTTGTTCTGAAAAGGCCCTCTCTCAAAGTGTTGGCTCTGTGTCTGAGCATCATTTAATTACAGTACATTTAAATGTCAGAGCTTCTGCCATTTTTAATTCCTGAATTAGATCTCCAGATCAAAAAGAATTACGTACTGTTTTGCCTACCCAACAAAAGAACAGGAGGCAGGAAGAGAATTGTCTGTATTATGTTCTAACAGCAGCCTGGAAAGTTGGGGAGACAGCCAGTGTAGATGCTGTTGCTTGTGCCCTGGCAATAATCACACCAAACCAAAAGATTTTTGATCTATTTGTAATTGGTTGCAGAGCCCAGAACAACAGGGAAAGAACGCATTATGATGGGGAAATCAAAAGGGAGACAGGTGAGACCTGGAGGTCAAGCTGTATACATTATGTGTCTCGTGGCCTCAGTCGTGTGAGGACTTTGAAAGGCAGCACTTGCTGGATAAAGTATTTTTTGCTCCTTATTTTTGAAGGCTAAATGCCAGAAACACTAGGTTCATGGCAGTTGGGTGGTTACCTGTTTCTGATTTCTCAGCTATTGGAAAGCCTTCAAAAAAAAAATTGGATGGTACAATCTTTTAAAGAAGATACTTGCATACCCACATCCAGCTTTGACAAGTGTGCCAACTACTATCCTATATCAACTAGGATAGCCTAATGTCAGTGCTCCGTGCCCAAGGAAATTTTGGATTTGATTCCTCCAATGAATTCATGAAGCTATCTTGAATTCAGCGCAAAAGCTGTAAACTGGTGCAGACGGCATCTGCCTAATTGTTGAGATGGGTGGATATAAAGCCCATGTTACACTAGTCCTGAAAGGGTCACACTGATTGTGATTACTGAACTGTACCTCCAGTGTTCAGATTAATTTGTAAAGTGGTAAGAATCCAAGTATTTAAAAGAATATTTCCTCCAACACTCCAAAATTTCCATTACAATCAGGAAGGGAGGCCTTGGGTGGGTGGGGAGTGTCCTATTAGTGGGTTTAGTTAATAGTGTGATGGGTATATTTTTGCAATTTTTGGAAAATCATGACTCCAACCTCTGCCCATCTCACTTTATGCTAGCAAACTGCTTTTCCTGACCATTCATAGGAGTTGGTGGTGAATTTAGGGTTAGTATGTCTCCCTCCAATGTCATGTTGGAGCAAAGAATCTAACCATGTACCGAATACAGTTCATCACCAGGAACACAGGTGCATCACCTATATTGGACACATAGCATAAAATGATTAGCCGCTAACACCTTGAGTGGACTTTGGTCATACAAAGTACTCCAGCGTTAAACATAGTAGAAGCCAGCACAAGAAACAAATTGTTAGCAGGAATATCATCTTGGAATTATTCCTGCAACACTTAAAACAAATAGGCAGCCCACTGTCTCCAGTGAATGTGGTTAATGGGAGTTAGTCCAAACATTTGGAGACCAGGTTGCTAACTTTGCTCTGAAGTACAAGCAACTGCCAGATAGCTCAGCCCCACTTCTATAACGGGGATTGCAGGAAGACAGGAAAACACCAGACAAGTGGGGGGGGGGGAGGATTTAGAGCCCTGCTGGATCAGACCAATTTCAGTATCATTCCATCAGAGTTTCAGTAATTAAGACATGAGGTTTATTATTAATATTCTCACTGTTCTCCAATAGACAGCAATGAAAGGGAGGTTGCCTTTGATCCTAATTTCCAGAGAGTACATGTACCTTGAAGTAGAATTTTTGCATTTCTTCCCTGCCTTCTTTGAAGATTCCCCCCCCCATCCCCATTAAATGTATAGATCATTCCCTATCCTGATGCCATCCAGATGTGTTTGGATTCTGGCTTCAGAATTTTCAGCCAACATGGCCAAAATGTATGAAGGAGGATGCCAGACTGGAGATAGCTGCTACAATGGCTGGTGTTCTTAGATGAGATTAAGTTCTAATTTTGGCTTTGTGTGTTGTATGAGCAGATAATGGTGAAATTGCTTGTAATGCTTTATGACTAGATATTTTTTTTGCTACTATAGCATAGAATGGCAGGGTTTATCATTATTTGGCTTGCTACATCTGGGGGCCATCCATAATTACTGTATACTGTACTTAAATGTGCAACAGATTAGTTTTTCCTACTAATATGCAGAAGAGTAAGCTTGGGTGGTCTAGAAAGAGATGCTTAAGCTTTGTTTTAATCAAAATTCCTCTTGTGTAGAAGGAAGAGACACATAATCCTGATTAATGATGATCCAACTACAGAGTGTTAAAAGAAAAGTTGTCAAGGGAGAGACCGGTTGAGAGAAAAGGGAGAAGACATTGCTACACGGATAAATTGTATATGAGAGATGAAAGAAACACAGATAATTGCAATAGACTCTACTTTGTCAGCAACAGAGTGGTCAATGCCTGGAATGCTCCCCATAACTTTAACCTTAGACTGTCTACTGTTGACCTCACCCCATTCCTAAGAGGTCTGTAAGGGGCAGGCATAAGCGCACCAATGTGCCTACTGTCCCTGACCTGTCCCTCATTCATACCCATTTCCTGTATTCATAATCATGTTTATACTTATCTGTTATCTTATACATGCTTGACAAACAAATAAAATTGGTTTATATCCTGATTCAATGAAAATGGTCTCATTTGTCTGGAACTCATGGGGAACACTGCTTCCTCCTATCATTTTTCATTATAACCACCCCGTGAGTTAATTATATTTGAAGTTTATACTAAGGGGCTTGGTGAGCTTCAAGTTAGTTGAGTTAGCTGTTTTATATTTATGATTTCTATATTAGACACTACCCAGGTTGTTTTGAGAGGGCATTTGGTGGAACAAAATCTAAATACACATACAACAAACAGTATTATGTGCCTAAAAGGCTACAATGCTGGATCAGTAGCAAGCAGCATCCTCGTCCAAAATACACTCTTGTGGTAGGCTTGACCAAGAGCAGGGCCCAGGAAAGTTGGCACACACTGTCATGGAAAGGAGAGATTCCAAAGACACTATGACCACGGCAAAAATCAAGTTCCACTCCACGCGGTGTCAAAGCGTGGCATTGTTTATGTACGCTATTTCGCATTTTATCTCCTCGTCGTGAAAAAAAGGCCGAAAGCGTGAAAGAAAATGGTTTGCACGAAAGGAAAGCGTGCTAACTCTTGAGAGAAAACAAGGAGGAGAGAAATCAGTCACACGCCCAACGACTCCGCAACGCGGGTTGTAATAAAATGCTGGGGGAGAGGAGGAGGCGTCGATTTAATTGCAAAAACCCCGCAGCCGAAAAAGATCCAACTCAAAAACTTCCAATATCGCCAGAAATTTTATTCGTTGCTGATCGGCCCCGCCCGTCAGACAATCAATTGAGATATTACATTCAAATGAGTGTGGTTCATTCAACCAATGGAAAGGAGGGTAGTGGGTGGAGTCCGGATCCACTTCCTCGGAGGAAAGTTTGTATTCATAAAAAAAATAAGTCAGCGGTGGAAGAGTCCCAGTTGTAGCTAAGTGTAGGCGTGCGTAGTAGGAGTTGCCTTCTCAAGGTGCGTTCTTTTTTCCCTTATACGCTGTAATGATAATGTATGAGCTTGCTATTTTCTATAGATTAGTATTCAAAACTATCCAATTCTTAATAAGATGGTACTGTTTTATTTAAATTTTCAGTAGAAAAGAATTTACATTTTCCAATTGTTGATAATTGGAAAATCTATTTTATTTTCTGAAGTTGCAGGCAGAAAGTGAATTCTTTAGAGGCTGTGTATTTCTCGCGGGTACAATAAAATTTTCCTCTATTACTAAGTTCCAGAATAGTTTTAAGTGGCTGTGCTTGATTTTTATGTGTTTCTAAATGTATTACATGATAATTTAAAACACTGGCAGAAAAGGGGGGGGGGACTCACGCAAGGAAGCATATAAAAATAAAGATGTTCAGCAGACATGGATTATGAAATTTGAGTCTATGCATAGCATGCATTGTAAAAATCATTTCTAATTTTCTTTCTAAAAATTACTGTTAACTCCTAAATTGTGCTAAATCCTTAAGTCAGGTTTCTAATGAATGAGTAGAAGCTACATTTTGTGTGATAGGAAGAGAAACTACACAAGATCCTTGTGTAGGAAACCTTATGCTGTGGTGTGTTTTTTAAAAAGTTATCCCAAGAATCAGTTGATATATAACTGCATAGTAGCATGAGTTANATCTGGAAACGTGAACCTTGACAGGCACAGATGGGCTGAGGCAAAATCCTGTAGAAGAACAGTATCTTGGAGTTGTCTAAAACCAGGTGTGTTTTGTTATCACCAACAACTTTCTGTTGACCTTTTTTTTTTTTTAAGGAAATACTCAACTCATAAGAAGAGTTCTGTGCTAGTGCTCCACAAAGGAAAACAAATCTGTATTCAAGTCAAATTAATGTTTTATTTATTTATTTTATAAGTAAACTAAAAATTAGTTTCTCTCTCAACTCATGCACACACTTCATTTTGCTCCCCCATTTCTATCAATCTTCCCTAATATGGTGATTTCCAGTTGTATTAGTCTTCAGTTCATATAACTTTCTGTTACACTGGATTTCAAACTGTAGTCAGGAAATACTGTGTGGTTGTTTGGAAAAGCCCTGTCTAGGTTTCAAAGAACTTGAAGGTTTTAGATGGGTTAGAGGGGGTTGAAGGGCAAAAAGAAGTAATACTTTTTTAAAATAGTTTTTATTAAAAAAATAATTTATATACAAGTTCTTTTAAAAGAAAAAATATATAATTAATATAAAAAAAGAGAAGAGAACAGAAAAAATGAAAAGACTTCTTATCATCCTCTTGGCAATCATACATACAATTCTGATCAAACTTCTCTGTAAAATTACATCATAATCCTCTTCTTTCTATCACCCTGTGATGCTATGTTGGCCTCTTTCCATCTGTCAGGAATCTTTCCATTCTGTAGAATAATATACATTGTTTGTTGTAAATGTTGTAAACATTCATCCTCAAAACATTTATAATAAGAGGCCAGCAGACCAATTGGGGCAGCTGCCTTTCCTGATTTAGTATGTTTTTCTTGCCCTTTATATAGAGTAGAACAATGCTGGAGAAACATTCTGCATATTTGCATTATCTGTTATTTCAGTATTTCCTTCTTGTAACTTTATTATTACTTTATTTTTCTTTTCGCAACATATGCCAGCAATTTCCCTGATTTACTTGCAGATTCAATTTTTTTTTGTTTCGCATAATTCATCTTTATTTCCATCTCTCTCATTGTTAACATAGACAACTACCTCCGTAGAAGCTTAATTTGGTGAGCAATAGTTGTCCGCCCAGGGGACTTCTCCTGTTTTTCTCTCTGGGTCTTTAACACTTTAGTCCTAATTAGCTCTCCATAGTTACAGTCACACAATCTGACTCATATTACGCATATCTTCTTATTTTGTAAAATCCATCAAATATCTAATTTACTTAAGAAGTAATCAATATTCCAATGAAGTTTCAGTCTAGTTGTCAAGTTAATTTTACTATTTTTAAAAAAATAAAAAAAACAATTCTTGTTTTTAAAAAAAAAAATACTTTGTTTATTATTTATCTGTATAAAATTTAAATCACAATCTTAAGTTGTTTGCTTTAAATCAAAATTAGTTTTTTTTCTCTTCTTAATTCCAAAAAGAAGTCAACTGAGTGTCTTTATTCTTTCTTGTTGCTTAGAAAAATCTCTCTTAAGACATACATTTATTATATACGAAAGTGTTTTTTTTAAATGAGGCTTTGATGTGTCAAGTGTCCATAGGGCTGCACAGTGTTTTTGAGTGCAGTGGTAATCCCTCTACTTCGAAACCACTCAACCTATGATTGATTGCAAGAAAGCTTAATTCCTGTGGCCTCTTCCTCTACTTTAGAACACAAGTGGATGATCTGTTGATCTCTTCTCCGGGGACAATTTTGTTGGCAGAATGAGTAGAAGAACTTCCAAATGCCTTGTGTGACACATGTTTAAATCAGAACTTGCAACCTGGCTGCCAATCTTTGCCGTGGTGTTGTCCCCACTCACAGGAATGTCTAACCCATCATAGATCCTCACCCAGAAGCTTCAAAAGAAAATAATATTAAGAAGCTGGTTAAAAACTTGAAACAACCTCCCAGAGAAGACAGAAAAAAAAAATAAGAAAATTTCAGAGGAAGAGGAAGTGAATCAGTATTGGGCACTAAAGTCTTTCCCTTTGACCAGTGAAAGCCCAGCCCTGTTTTCATTGGATTTCTAATTAGCCTTTGTATTACGCAGTGATGAAATTCAATTTTTTTTAAAACTACCGGTTCTGTGGGCATGGCTTGGTGGGCGTGGTGTGGCTTGATAGGCGTGGCAGGGGAGTAATACTGCAAAATCCCCATTCTGGGGCCAGCCAGAGGTGGCATTTGCCGGTTCTCCGAACTACTCAAAATTTCCACTATTGGTTCTCCAGAACATGTCAGAACCTGCTGGATTTCATCCCTGGTATTACTACTGTAAATACTAATATGTATTTATTCAGTAATATTTTCATAGTGTGTTAGCAAATTTGGACCAGGGACT